ATCTGTTTCTATAAAACAAAGCCTAAAAATATTAGCGCACATAGAATTAGCTTAAAGGGACACACCAAGTAATGGTTGGAAACTAAATAGGATAGATAGTAAATGGATAACCACCAGCAGCTAAACTCATGAATGGTACTACAACATTGTTAGAGATTAAAAGAGATTAATTGAGAGAGATAAAGTTTTGAGGAACAATACCTCTTCTTTTGGTATCAAAAAATTAACAATGGAATAATAATCACATAAATGGAACGTAAGGTTCATTAACCTAAGAAGCTAAATTATCATACCTTTGCAATTAAACTTGATAGCATTCGAGATTAATATAGACTGTGGTTTCCACTTTTTTGGTACTAATGACAAGCAACATTACCGGCACATTCCAAAGTCTAAAACACTCAACAGTAGTTATTGATATTCCATCAATGGAAGAGATTGGGCCAAATCCATGTAAGTAAAAAATTAAACCGAACTATTTGACATATACATACAGTTTCTCATTAAATTATTGCTAATAAAATCAATCGATAGAAATTTCAAATTTCAATAGACAAATAGAAAGAAAATGAATAGTAAATTTCTGATTTTCTTTTTAATAGTATTAGAGTATGTAACACCCCGGCCCCGCAGGACCCGAGGTAGTTACTCCAACACACCCTCCAGACCTCTAGTACTGTCCTCACAAACCACCACTAGCCTTTACCGCGCACTTTGTCCTCACTTATGCGCGCCCTGAGAAACTTCCCAGGGGGTCACCCATCCCAAGACTACTCCCGTGCGAGCACGCTTAACTTTGGAGTTCTTGGGTAATGAGCTCCCTTAAAAATAGATGCATCTTGTTGGTATGAGTAGTACTATTAATCCATTTATATTAAATTTCAAGTGTTACAGAGTATGTACTCGGAGGATCTTTTAATAGTTTTTAAAGAGCACTTAAACAACAATGCATAACATCACTTTAATTTCAAAGTTCATTTATGCTAACCACTGCATAAGTTCACTTTAAAAAGTTGATCATCTTTTAATAGCCAACGACTGCATTTAATGTTACGTCATGTACCCACATTTGCGTCACGTCGGTTCTCTTCGCCATAGACTAGCTTACACATGTACGTTCATTTAATTCACTTAACTTTTATGACTCATATAAATAGCAGCCCCTTGGGTTGTTGTAATGGTTTGACTGTTCATTTGATACGATTGCTCTCTCTCCTACTCAATAGCTCTACCTTCTCTCTACATACCATGAAACGTCAACCCAATAAAAAGCTTGCTCAGAGTGGCCTTATCTACGTCAAACATGTGGCATCTCCTCCAGCGGTAACTCACCAACAGTCACCTCGCAAGCAACCTTGCTCTCATTCAAATTCACCAATGATCACAGGCATCAGAGCCCAACCCCCGGGCATTTCTGACAAAATTATTTCGCAAGCCTTCGGTAAATGCTACCATCGGGGCAAATTAGAGGCACCGCACAAACGACTTCGGCCTCTACACATGCCCAAATTGCACAAGTCGTGATTCTAATGACAACGAGAGGAGATATTACCCTCGGGCTAATTTTGAGGCTCAACCCCTTCAGCTTAAATTGCGTTCGGCCAAAAGGGGTAAGGATTGAGGGATTACCCCTCAGTATTTTTTAAAAAGTAACAAATCTACAAGGATCAAAACACAATAGAGAGCCTAAAAAAACAACGAACTAATACCCTTCACCTCGAGAAACTCTCAACAAAGGAGTGGGGGCTCCTGATGGAGTATATGGCCCAGGACCCCCGATCCACATACTCCAGCCACCTCAACAAGCCCAAACAACTACAATTGACCCAAAGTAACAACTACACACCCCACGGGGCCAACCCTGGGGGCTTCAAATAGCAGTACCTCGCAAAGGACTCCTCACACATATGGACCAAATCATTCCCATCTTCGATCCTGAGATGAAGCCCTCAACCTCGGCACAAAGAGATTTCAGGTTCATGCTTCCTAGCGGCCAATCGCCGCATTTAATGATACACCACATGCCCACATCTGCGCCACATTGGTGCTCTCCGTTGATAAGCAAAATAATTACTTATGTTACACATAGGTAATTATATTTATCTGTACAAAAATATGAAGCGAAAACAGGTAAATATTCCAAAGTGAGCAAAAATGTGAAATACGGCTTGGAGCGACAAATATGGGGTCAAAAGTCAAAAGGGGTCGAAAACCAGCACTTCTGGATCAATTGCGGACACCGAAATAAGAAGAAAAAGGAATCACAAATTTGGGCGCAATGACCGGCGCCGTTCATCTGACAACCGGCGCCGGTCATCTGACAACCGGCGCCGGTCAGGCTAGAAACGGCGCCGGTTGGGTCAATAATCTGCTAAAAAACAACAACGTGCTGAAATATTTTGATGGGAAAAGTTCATCTTCCTCATGATCTGATCACATATTGCTTCCATACTTGATTGTTGAGCTCGAATAGACTAAAAGATGTCATTCTTTAGCTTATATAAATCTCTCAATTCATCAAACAAATAAATTCCATTCCATAGATTAATTCCTAGATTTTATATTTTGTTCTTTCTATTGTTCTTCAAGTTCTTGAGGAGGGAAGTTCATCCTTCGAAATCATTGGTGTTTAGGTATTATTTCATGTTCTATTACATTTCATTGTTGTATTGTGATATATCCTTTATCTTTTGATTGTTTATGACTATGGTGTACAACATAGAAGTATGTTAAATTTAGTTCATGCTTGCAATTAACATTGAAGTCTAAACTATGAAGATTAAGGGATAAACATATATAGTACCGAAAATAGAAATATATCCGGTCTTATAAGATACAGGTGTAATGTCTTGATATTCAACTGAGTTTTCGGTAGATGAATGTAAGTCGTAACGGGACTTACACATAACGAAAACCACGAAAACCACGCTCTCGGCGCCTTAACCGGAGTTGAGAATATATTAGTGACATCGTATTCATAATTATTGGGAAGGAACTAGTATCAAATAGGTCCTCGAACTTTCATAAAAAAGTCAATTAAGTCCTTCTATATGAGACTGTCCGGTCGTCGCGATTTGGGGCGGTTCCCGGTGGAATTTTTTGATGAAAATTTTTGAGCATCTTATTCATCAAGTCTAGTTTACTCATACCAAACTTCAGCTAAAAACATAATCGGGTGCGCGTTCAAATTAATTCGATAACACAAAAATGGGAAGTTATCTTCAAGAATTAATTTGAATGTGTTCCCGATTGAATTTTTAGCTGAAATTTGGTATGAGTAAACTAGGCTTGGTGAATAAGATGCTCAAAAATTTTCATCAAATAATTCCACCGGGAACTGCCCCAAATTGCGACGGCCAGACAGAACCTCCTATAGAAAGACTTATTTGACCTTTTTATGAAAGTTCGAGGACCTATTTGACAGTTTTTCCAATAACTATTAAAGCATTTGCGTGAATCCCGGTTACCTTAGTAATTCTCATTCTTGTCTAAACCAATCACAAGAGCAAATTTCCTGAAAAATTATACCATTTATATTCTTTGCATTCAATATTCAACTTTATAATATCAATACCAATACTAAAATAATACCTATTAATATAACACAGTTATCAATACTAACACATTATAACATCACAGTTATCAATACTAACACATTATTAATATATACCTATTAATACATTTATAATATCACCTAAATAACTGTGTCGTTTTGCTATGAGAACCTTCTAGTGGGACGGAGGTAGTACCTCTCAACAATCACACTCATTCAATGAGACTAATAATCATATTTTTATTCTCGGGACTTCACAGTTCACACTCATTTAATAGGTATATATATTATAATGTGTTAGTATTAATAATTGTGATGTTATAAATGTATTATTTTTAATATTTAATGACTAATTTGTCACTTAAGATTGTTAATTGTTTCCTAAAATGGTAATGAGAACCTTCTAATGAGACGTCCAAAAAAAGAAAGTGGGAACCTTCTAACGGGACGGAGGGAGTATTTATTTACACAAATATACTACCTCCGTTTTTTTAATCTTCACAGTTTGAATTCACACAAAATAAGGAAAGAAATTTGATTTTACTGTAGAGTACACTGTTGAGGCACTGTTTGACACTGTTTGGCACTGTAGAAACACTGTTTGGCACTGTTGAGACACTGTTTGGCACCGTTTTGATGTAGATTTCTTTGCCAAAAAGGGAAATAAGGAAGTGTGAAGTTTACTTTAGACCGTCCCAAAAAGGAAAGTGTGAATTTTATGAAAAACCGGAGGGAGTAATTCATAAGCTAGTCAACCATATTAGGATGTTTTTATTTGGACTGTTTTCAGTCTCAGACTAGACCAGACAAGATCAGACTTAAACAGATCAGATCAGACTTAAACAGACCGAACCAGACCAGACTGAGCTTAAATAGACCAGATCAGTTCTGTAGTTGATTTCTGTAGTTACAAAATACATAGAGACCATACGTTTACCAGACCAAACTAGTTCATATCATACCAAACCGGACTCAAACAGACCATGTCAGATTTAAACAGATTAGACCAGACCATATCACCAAATTACCGTCCAAGTAAAACATTACGAGCCCGTTTGGAGACCTCTTTTTTCGGCTTATCAGGCTTATCAGCCAGCTTTTTCACCAAACACGTAACTTTTACTTTTGTGTGTTGAATTGTGTAATAAGCAGAAAAAGTAAGGTTGGAGTTACTTTTCTGGCTGTATTGGCTGAAGTTACTGTAGAGGACTATTTTAGCTATTTTTACATGTAATTTTTTCTATAATTTATTAATAAAATATTTTTTTAAAATATTTTTTTTGAATCAACAGAAGCAGCCAAAACAGCCACTTCAGCCAGAATTTCATAAATTTCAGCAGAATCAATCAAAACAACCGATTTTCGTGCTACCAAACGGGCTCTACATTTTGAGGTGGGAAATGTTGAAGTAGAGTTTAGAAAAGGTCCAGAAAAGTTTGTAGATAAACTATGTCTTCAACTTTGACGATATGATGTTGGTTCAGAAATAGTAACTTTATCATGATTTTCTTCAATTTTTTCTTTAATTTGTATAAAGAAATACTCCGTAGTCATTACTCATTAGCTATAATCTATAATCATAATCCATTAAATGATTAAAAAAATCATAATCCATTAAATATTACTCCGTACGTAGTATGTCCTTGTAGTAGTAGCGAATTAGCCATAAGCCAATCCAAGTGATTAATTCTAATCAGACGTATTTAATTTGTACCAAGGACATCTATCATGATTCGTGACGAATCGACTATGGCTACGATCAGCAGCATCGGAGTTGTAGGTGCAGGCCAAATGGGCTCCGGTATCGCCCAACTCGCTGCCGTGCACGGCGTTGATGTATACCTTTACGATACCGAAGTAGAAGCTGTTAAAAGAGCCCATAAATCCATCTCCAGTAACATTCAACGCCTCGTCTCCAAAGGTCAACTTTCTCAGGTGAACTTGCAATTGATTTTTTTTATCTAATTCCCAGACTATAATGATAGATAGATTGTGTGTATGTGTGTGTCTAAATGGAGAAGAGAGATGTGCAAATGCGCAATTTATATAGAGGAAAAAGCAGAAGCTGTTCTAACAACTCTGTAACAATTCTGTCACCTAACCTAACTGTTAAAGATTATAAAATCAATTAATTATTTGTAAATATACAGATTGTGCCCCCCCCCAAGACCGCAGATGACATTTTAAGATAAAAGTTCCCATCTATGTTTTTATGGTTTTGAATCCTATGTGTTAACTCTTTAGTGTGTTGTTGGATGTAATGTTAGTGGAATTTGGTTCCTTCATAAGCTATGAACTATGTTTTGGCATCCCCTTCTATAGGAAACATGTGATGATGCCATCACACGTCTAAAAGGCTCACTGGATTTGAAAGATTTCCAATCAGTGGATATTGTTATTGAGGCTATCATGGAATCTGAAGACGTGAAGAAAAAATTGTTTGTGGACTTGGACAAGATTGTGAAGAACTCTGCAATCTTGGCTTCTAACACTAGCTCTATTTCCATAACTCGTTTGGCATCAGCAACTAGCCGACCGAAACAGGTGGGCTTGACGATCCACAATCTCATAGATTATAATTTTATAAATGTCAAACATGCTGCCTATACATAATAATCTCTTATCTATCAGAGCATTTCACTATCGGTCGATTAATTGATTGGTATACTACTAGTCTGTTAACTTAAATAATTTCAGAACCTGTGCATTTTGTGTGCAATTCCTGTACACAGCATAGAGTTGAGTTCAACATGAGATACTCCTCAAAAAAGGTAGGCCAGGGGGAAATAGTCCTATTAATTTTTTTAATTAAACAATTTAGAGAAAAAAACGATTTTTTTTACCAAATTTGAGGTAGGTGAGGGCCTGGGTGGTCCCATTCCTTGCTAATACATTGTTACTCAGTCCTCACAGCACTTCAACTCATGTGTTGTGCAGATACCTAATATCTGTACTGCCTATCAATTTGCATTTTTAACTGTTTTATTTCTTCTATGTAGGTGATTGGCATGCATTTTATGAATCCCCCTCCAGTTATGAAACTGGTTGAGATCATCAGGGGTGCTGATACATCAGATGACACATATAATGTAACTAGGTGCTTGGCTGAAAGGTGACTTAATTGAAAATATGTTTTATTCGATAATTTCTTTGATATTTTGACATTCACGATGGAGGAGAAACTATTGTATGCTCTGCAGTTTTGCTGCACGTGAAGGATTATATGATTAGTTGCTTGAAAAGATGAGTTATCTTTTTAACCTCTTAAAGGGAGACTTTTTTTAGGTTGTAGATCAACTTATTGGCCATTTCATTGTATAGAATGTAGTGCAAATAGAAGTAAAACATTGTTCATACGCTGATACGCACCAATGTGACTATCTTTGTTTTATGCTAAATAAAAATAAAATCATTCGGTCCTTAATATAAATGTAGTTCATAAGTCTTGTAATAAGGGTGAATTACAAGACCTAATGATAGTTTACTTTGTACAAAGTGTTATGGTATGTTACTATTTATGGATTTTTCTCTCATTACAGGGGAGGACCTATGTTAGGGCTATTGTGGCTGAAGTCCAGTGGAAAAAAAATTCCAATTTTTTTAGTGTAAAATTATTCATTATTCATATTTTGATCACCCTGGTAATATTTAAGCCTAATCTAGCAGATTCCTGGATCAGATTCCTGGATCCGCCCCTCCTTCATTATAATGTGTAATGGCCAAGTTCCTCAGAATCTATGTGTTATTTTCTCTAGTTGAGGTCAAAAGCTATGTATTAAGGGCTTCAGCATCAGAAACTATGTGTTATTTTCTCTTGTTGAGGTCCAAAGCTATTTATTAAGGGCTTGAGCATCAGAATCGATGTATACTACCTCATTTCTGAGAAAATATACTTATACTTTAGATGTTTATTTTTTTGTTTAACTAAGTTTATCATATATAACATGGATGCGACTAGGTTGTGGATTTTTTTTTAGCAAGTTACTTGAACAACTAACAATGATAGACCTGAACTATCTTTTTAGGGAAAGAAAAACATTTAGAGGGAGTTTAAAATTAGTTGCATAACATTCACGATGAACTAAAGTGGTGTCATATTTATACTAATCATGTTGATTTTGGAAATTGCCAGCAAAATAAAATCCAGCTTTTGGGAGTTTCCTAGTTTTTGTTTTGTTTTGGTGTAAATAACTTAAACCAAAAAGAATGAAATGACAATGAATGTGACCTATCTGTATGTTTGATGCATGAGATTATGAAGAACAAATCCTTCACGGCTTCACTTGATAGTGGTTTGATATCAGCATTAGCTTGGATATGAATATTAGTCAATCTTTATACTGCACTGAAATGATCAATGTCTTCTCCAGGTTTGGCAAGACAGTTGTTTGCTCCAAGGATTATGCGGGCTTTATTGTAAATAGAATCTTGATGCCAATGATAAATGAAGCATTTTATACACTTTACAATGGAGTTGCAACAAAAGAAGACATTGATACGGGGATGAAACTCGGGACTAACCATCCAATGGGTCCTCTCGAACTAGCAGATTTTATAGGGTTGGATGTTTGTTTGGCGATTTTGAAAGTACTGCATACTGGTCTTGGGGACACTAAATATGCTCCGTGCCCTCTCCTTGTGCAATATGTTGACGCAGGCAGGCTTGGACGAAAACGGGGCATTGGTGTATATGAATACCTTCATGCACTGGGAGGCATCAAGCATTCTCCTCGACTCTGAACTTCCAGTATTTCGTTAAATAGTAACATGGAGGTTCTTGTTGAAGGGATGGTGCAATAAAAGTGACACTGAGATAGGTCATTATGAAGGAACAAACTTCTTTGTACAAGCCCTATCGAGTTGTTGGGCTTATTGAGGGTGGTGATGCAGTACTGCAGGTTGTTGTTGTTTCTATCTAGTGTTGTTGGGTAAGGCATTCACATTTCTTATTGTTGGAAGCAAAGATCAACGGTCATCTTAAATATGTAAAAATTGATTCATGTCTTGTGGAGTTAATGGGTTGAAAATTGTTGAAATTTATACATGTGAATATGTGATTATATCGTCATAATTATACACTCAACTTATATGAATACGCATTTTAGCAGGAAAATGAGCAAGTGTGAACTCTGAAGTGCAAATGAACATGTGAAGATAAAATGAAACATTTATCCATTTAAAGAAATAGGGAAAAGGGGCAAATAGGCCCTCGAACTAATAAAAAAAGTGCAAATAAGCCCTTTTGTAAGAGGTTCTGTCCGATCATCGTCATTTGGGGAGGTTCTCGGTGGAATTTTTTGATGACTTTTTTTTAGCATCTTCTTCATTAAGTCTAGTTTAGCCATACCGAATTTCAGCTAAAAATTCAACCGGGAAGGCACTCAAATGATTTTCGGAAATTTACCGTGTTGTTTAACTGCGCAGTTATCTTCAAAAATTCATTTGACTGTCTTCCCGGTTTAATTTTTATCTGAAATTCAGTAGGACTAAACTAGACTTAATGAATAAGATGCTCAAAAAATTGCATTAAAAAATTCACCGTGAACCTCCCCAAATGACGATGACCGGACGGAACCTCCTACAAAAGGGCTTATTTGCACTTTTTTGATTAGTTCGAGGGCTTATTTGCCCCTTTTCCCAAAGAAATATTTACCATCGTCAAGAAAATTAAAAAATATCACTGGATGTATGATATATTTCTCGGGTTGAAACTTGAAAGTAGAGAATACTTTAATTAATAAATATGTAAGTGGATACAATAAGAATAAGTAAAGGGGTTATTCCCTTAATATTACTAAATTAAAGTTGATTTCCAAACATGTGACCCCTTTTACGTTTGGACAAAAACGTGACTAAAATAAAGTGACATCCAATTCATGTCACTGCCTCATTTTCATGTCACTATAAGATGTCATTGCTGCTGTAGCTCGTGTCACTGCCACCGCTGCCTCTCTCACTGCTACCGCCACCCGTGTCTATGCAGCCGCTCAGTGACACCTCCATAGGGACAACTCCACGGTGACATTTTTGTAGTGATATCTCCGCCCAACCTTTGGCCACAGTGGCATCTCCGTCGTCCGGCCACCGCCACTGACGGCCATAGTGACACAAAATTACTCCAGCCACCGCCCTCCGAAGTCCTTTCAAGGTAACAAGGGTATGACCTTCCGCATAATTTCATCTTTGTCCTTTAAGTTTCTGTGAATGCTTGAAATAGATCGTGAAGATCTGGTGCGACGTTGTTTTAATCTTTTTCTGTTACCACTGCTCTGCCCCCGCACCACCACTGCCCCACCCCCACACCACCTTCATTGTCCCCCACTTCTTAGCCCCGGACCGCTGCAGCCATCACCCACCATATCTGCAAATTCCTTGTTAACCATTACAAATTGTGTCCTCGTCGATTCCCAGCCATCTCCGTCGGATTTACAAAATCAATTGACTTAGAAGCTTGGTGTTCATGGGTTAGCGAGTTGTAATTAACCCATATGGAGAATTTGGGAGATGGAGTTGTAATTAACCCAGATGGAGAATTTGGGAGATGGAGAAGGAAATTCGATTTGTGTTTAGGGTGACCGAACGACTATGGCGGTGGAATAGTGGTGGCGGTCGAGCAAGGGAGAAGCTGCTGAAATTGTGAGAAAGAAGCAATGGTGTTATGGTGATGTCTGCACCTGGAGCTGCAAGCATGCGAAGAGAGGGAAGGAGATCCCGATGATGTGTGTAGATTTGGACAATTGTTTGTCACGCCTGTGACGTCACGGAAAATATCTGTGACAAAAAACGTGTCAAACTTTTTTGTCACGGATTTTTTATACTCTCGTCCGTGAAAGAATCCGTGACAAAAACACTTATTTTTGTAGAGAAAATGTGAATTTTTATTTGAAACATTTTTAGTAAAATCTCATATTTATGTTCAAAAAGTTGTACATGCAAAATAACAAACCTTTATGCAATTGAAATATAAATAATACTTTTGAGCTCATCTATCTCATTCCTCTTTGAAGAGAAATATAATTTTGTTTCTATTCAAAGAGCAAAGAGATAGATCAGCTCAAAAGTAGTAGTTAGTCAATCCTTAGGCATAATTATTAACACAATTAATTTATGGAGCATGAGAGTTGAGATTAACAAAGATTTAAAATCCTGTGTATTTCGGCGTGGGAAATCGTCATCATTAGCTATAAATCCTAAGTCATCGGAATCGTGTCTTTGTATTTATTATCCAATTCCACTCTATAAGCATACTAATTTTTATAACGCGCGTTGCGCCATTAAGTTAATGCCCGAAATACTTTGTATGTATAATTATAAGGTTGGTTTTGTGTGTGAATTTCTATGAGTTCATCACCGAGTTATAAGATACTCGTACAAGTTATAACTGTCCAATTCTAATTTTCGAACCCGAAAAAATCATGTCCTCGATTTCTTTTTACACTCTTGCCACCGCATATCGTGCTTAAGAAAGATAAAACAATTACAATTTCACATCCAGATCAAGTCATTGACTCATAGATAGATAAATTCGAAGGAAAATTAATAATTTTGATATCTTCTATACTAACCTTACACCCGGGGCGTATTTCAAAAATTCTTTTTGTACACCTTTTTATACACATCAGTACACCACATTGTTTGTAAGAGTTTTTTTGTCTGTAAATGCCAGTTCACAGACAAAACCTGACTTGTTTTGTCTGTAGAATTTTCCATAGACAAAACAAATCAGGTTTTGTCTGTGAACTGGCAATCACAGACAAAAAAAACTCTCACAAACAATGTGGTGTACTGATGTGTATAAAAAGGTGATTTGCCTTCGTATTTTCCAACAAACTACATAAGAAAGTACGGAGTAATACATAGTACTAAACATGAAAGCGAATTTCTTTCTCTACAAATTCCTCATAATTTCAAAACCCAGTAAAAAAAATGACACCGGTTTTAATAAACCAGCAACCTCTCCCATTAACTAAGCTCCTATTAATGCCAGAAAAGAAACCCTATCAATGATGAACTAAGCTACTGTTACACCAAAACCACCTCGAAATCTAGAAACATAACAAAAACACAATAACATTGCACTTAGTTTTGGTTGTTTATCATACTAAAAATAATTACATATATGGTGGCAAAAGTATAATACACTTTGATCGGCTTATTAAAATTTAGAACTTTTAAAGAAGGAAGCCATCTAAAATCCATTCAATAAAATACAACTATTAACCGGTGGGCGTAGCTCAACTGGTAGCGAGGGAGTGCCACAAGGGTTAGGTCTCGGGTTCGAATCTCAGCAACTGTGATGAGAGGTTATTATGCTAAAAATGCATAGGGCCTCTGCAAGTACTGGGGACGGAGCCTCACCCTCTATTTGTCAGATTGTGATTATCGTGCCGTCCGGTCGGTGTTGGGGGCCTCAAGGATGGGGTGACATTCTTTTTTTTTTTTAATAAAATACAACTATTATTATTAGGAAAAATTGAAAATAATAATCCCAACTATTACCAGTCCGCTGAAAATAATCCCAACTATTGATTATTTTTGTATAATCCCAACTATATAGACTATCCGCCAATAATGGTCCATGATCACATACTACCTCTATAAAAAGTGAATTTTAAATAGAAATTAAGCGTAAAAATTAAAAGTTAAGATTATTTATAGGGATTACTTGTTATATATCATCTCATCCACTTTAGAAACTACAAGAATTTATTCATAGGGACCATTATTGGCGGAAGGTCCCTTAGAATAATCAATAGTTAGGATTATTATGAGCGGACCGTCAATAGTTGAGATTATTACTATTAATTTTTCCTTATTATTATTATTATACGGAGTACAAATAAGTTACTTTACTACGGAGTACTACTATACGCAATAAATTATACAGGGTAGGGTATCTTGTTCCAATAATTGAAATCTAAATAACTTTCACATATGTTCCAATCTCTACTCCATAGTCTATTATCTATACTCAGGTAGAGATGGCAATTGTGACCGAACCGATGGATACCCGCACCGAACTGCCCCGGTCAAAACGGGAAAAACCGCTTTGACCGGGTAACGGGTACGGGCGGGGAACACCCGTTTTGTTTTTACGGGTAATGGGGCGGTTACAATTTTATACATTCCCGCCCCATTACCCGTCCCGTACCCGCACCGTTTATTTTAAGTTGTATTTTCATTACATTTTTATCTATTATTTTGTCTCACAACTATTAAAATATGAGATTTTTCTCTTTCCATTATGTATATATAGATTATAGATATACTAAATATAATATAGGAATGAAAGTTCTTAATAGATTTTAACTATATTGTTTGATTATTACCATATTTTTTCGTGATTAATTATTTTTTAGATTAAATATTTTTAGGTTCAAATTAATTTAAGTTGTTAGCTTTCTCATCTTGTAGATATACGAATCTTTAAAGTGGCGTCTGAAGTTTTAAGTCGTCTAGGCAATGTTTTTTTTCGCCCTTTTAAAATATTATTTTTATGTAAAAAATTTAATAACTCATTTAATAAAGTGGTTACCCGCGGTTACCCGAAAATTTACCCGTTACCCGTTGGGGCAGTTATGGTTTGAATAAAAATTACCCGTTGGGTAATGGGGCGATTACGGGGCGGGAAATTATCTAACGGGACGGGTACGGTTATATGTAAAACCGTCCCCGATATGCCCGTTGTCATCCGTATACTCAGGTTTTGTAAATGTTGACTAGTACGTTTTTCATTACTCCGTATTACATATAACTAGTAACGTAAGTAACTAACACACATTAAAAATATTGGAAATGTGAGGTTCATAATGAATCGAATTCGAAAATCCGTAAATGCCAATGAGTTCAACCATACAAGTACTAAATTGGTATTGGACAAATCTAATGAGATTGGATTCAAATGAAATTAAAAATATTAAGACAAAGATAGTAGAAAGTAATAGAATTAATAATAGGAATATTTACATTATGTACTTTACATTAAACCCTTCTACTATAAATATATCTGACAGGGCTCCTTAGAGAGCATCATTTTCCATTATTCTCACATGGTATTAAGAACACATAAAAAAATCCAATCCTCTCTCTCTACATTATCGGTGCCGCGAGCTA